TTTTTTAGTAAATTAAAAAAAAGAAAAACCAAATGCTCGATACTTTCAATACTAGTAGAATTAAATTCATTAATTAATATATTTGATGGTTTTAAATAATTCTTATATCCTAAATATATATCTATCTCTCTTTTATCTATCAACTCGAAGTTTGAAAGTTAAAGTAAAGCAAATAAATGTAATTTTGAAAATTTCGTCGAAAGTTTTAATATTCTACGCATGAGTGCCCATTCTCGTCGTCAAATATTTCGCTCTCGGAGAAACTAATTTCACCATTATTGCCTTAATACGTTACCGTGTTATTACATAACGTTACATCATACTTACACAATATTATACTTCGTTCTTATAATTAAATTGCACGAATTCCACGAGAAGTAAGCGAATGAACGTTCAAATACTTTTAAATGACGATACGCGTAAACTATCATGGACTTATCATAGTAAATCGAGAGATAGTAGGCTACCATTGTTCAACTATCTCCTCGATTGGAATGAAAGTCGCGACCAAATGTTCGTAGAATTAAAAAATAAAAAGAATAAAATTCCAGAAGGAAGAAGGAAGCTTCTTCTCTTAATACCTAATTTACGCGTTTCTATCCATCAACCGATAGTTGTTCGATTTGTGAACACTGTTGATCGTTAATTGTAAATTGTACATCTATGGTCTTTAGTTTCTTAATAGAAAAATCACGCTGAACTTAGCATTTAGAGTTGATATAAAAACCGCTGGGATGCGAGAATAGTTTATTCGTTAAGGTCTTACATTAGCATAATCTTCTAAGATCGAGGGATGGAAACGGAGGAATGCGCAATGGAACGGAGAGTCAAATTACAACCACAGAAATAAAATTGCCTGAATTTCGAATGAAAGACTGATCTCTCTACTTTTGAAATTACGTCAAAAATAAAGATTCTGATGTAACAAATTTAATTGAAAAAAAAAAAAATAAAGTAGAAATACAGTAAATTAATCTAAATTACATTACAATTCGCCTTTTCGCCTTGAAACTTTCCCTCTCTTCCATCCTTCCAAGCGCGCATACATTTTTACATGAAAATTATTAATTGTTAATTGTAGCTCATCTTACTCGTACCCCTCCGTGTTCAATACTGTACAGCAAATAACGAAACGTAGAGTTGATTGAAGTCTATGAGGGAATGCCTGGAACGTAATTTTTCGCCACTAGTTTTCGACAGAATCGCAAAGAATTCGAGCAACAGCGTATTCACAGGCTCTTTCTTCACCGACGTGTACACATGTCGATTAATTATGTCGTCACAGTAGTCCCTTGTATTGGAGGCAAAAGTATTGCGAGCAATGACCACTCTCCTTGAAATGATCAACCTTGAAAGTTACATTCCGTTACAACGTTCAAAATTATCGTAGAAACCTTTCCATCATCTTTCGGGCATGTTTTCGTCAATCATTCGTTCGTTCGTTGTTCACGAATTTCTCTGTGATAATTAAATAATTTTTCTTTCCTCTCCGATGGAAGAGAGCACGTGGAAAGCACTGGGAGACTGGACTGATTGTGAGTGAGCTAGGAATACTGAGACGAGTCAGATTTCTTTCAAAAATCTCTTCTTATGAAGCTAATAAATAATAAGAAGGATACAAAACAGTTGGAATTCTATATTTCTGTAATGAATATTTGGAGGATGTATAAAAGTAAAGCTATAGAAGAAAAGTGTTAAAATTGTTTAAAAATAGACTTGTTAAAAGAATCTTTGAATTTTGAAACTTGGTACTCTAGTGAATACTTGGAAGATCCGAACAAAAATACAGAGGGAACAACATTGAAATTAAGCTTAAAAATAGATAACAAGAACCTTTGAGTTCAAGTTTTTATAAAATATGTAAAAGATCATCTTATAAATTCAATGTTCAGTATTCTTTTGAGTTGATCAAAAAAATTTCACAGAATCGTTGTAAAGTCACAAAATTTCCAATCAATGAAGAATTAATCCTCCAGTTGTTCACTTTTGCAAAAGATAAGAATTATTAGTCGATGATTAGTGACTTGCTAGAATCTGAAATCTGGCAATTGATAATTCTTACATAATAATTACATACTACATATGTGTATTATTGATTAATATTATTACGAATTCGCTCGGTACATATATAATGACGTATTGATGGAAAACAATGGCGATAAATATTTCCAAGCTTTGAATACACTCACAGTGATGTTCGTACTTCTTCATTATCGAACGATGAAAACTGCAAGATTCTCATCAACGACAACGTGTATTAAAATAAAGAATGCTAATTAATTAACACGTTCGTTGACAAGAACTTTCAGCCTTTTATTATCAATCGTTCAATATGTTCCTGTAACTCTTAAATTACAGAAGATTAACTTATTCTCACCGCTCTCGTTTAATTCTAACGCAATATTTTCATCTCTGTTCAGCATTCCGAGCTTCATCGTCCCCAACAAACTTCACCGAATCTCCCATAAATACGCGTATAAATTTACAATACATAGATCGTTCAAGTTTCATGACCTCTCAGCCAGCAACAATTAACGACACGCGGCGAATCGTCGAGATCTCTGTAAAAGAGCTCGATCGACAAGAAGAAGATGATTGTTAAAGTTCGTTTCATGGGGAGGGAACTGGTCACACGATCCAACGACAACGACGACTGGACTGCACTCTTGTGTCATGGCACCGGTGGTGGTTAAACGGTGATGGCAGGACCGCGATAACAGACCGGACGATCCTGCTATCGATTGGTTACCGATTCGTCAGCAGGAGCAGGATTTCTTTGAACTCGTCGGCGACTGATTCAGCGCGAATCGCTCGCCGTCTGTCTGATCCTGAGAGCCGTTTCCCTTCATCAGCTGGTCATTCTGAAGTATCTGCAAGAACAAATTAATCGGAATTATTGGTGGCAAAGTTGAAGAATGGCAGATCTTTTCCAGACACCGTTGTCGATTTCAATTCGAAACGTCTTGTTTTAAAGACTCAAAGGTTTAATAGTAGAACTACCGATGATCAAGGCATAAAATTTCCACTCCAGATGCATGAAAATAAAAAATAAAAAAAATAGAGAAGCTTTATAATATAATAAAGTACATAAGTTTTTACGAAAAAAAAATCATTTAAATTTCTAAAAATACACTGGTTTACAAAATATTTAACAAAAAGCTATAAATTAATCAGTCTACTTTGGTAGTTCTAGTGTTAATAATCATGCGTCGATTCCATATACATACATTTGAAATATATATCGTATCTTCAATCTTAAGATAAGCGGTTAAGATTTTTTTCTTTTATAATACATAGTGAATAACTGTAGCAACGACAATGAAAAAATTGTCGACAATTGTTTTCTAAAATTTCCGAAAACGTTTCTCTAATTGTGAGTGAAACTTGAAGAAAGACTGGATAAAACAATGTGTACAAGTATAACGAAGGGAGCTTATCGGTCAAACAGATGGTGTCACGGCTCTGAATTAGTTTCGCTGAACGAATAACAATTAACTATGCATTATAAGACGATCACCTTGACGCGTAAATGCGTCATTGATAAATCCATCGGGCTTGTACGCACACGAATCACGAGGGCGATACGATATTCCACAAATAAACTGGCTGTTCGTGGCTCTCTTCTCGAGCTATGTTTGCACAATTGAATTTTGCGGTCGAGTCAAAAAATACAACGCGCCAGAAAACGTCGATTAGAGTGGTCTAAACACGGTTGTCTAGCTTATTTTATTCGATGCAATGTTGTGTTAATAATACGATGCTTTAATTAAAAGAAATTCTTGTCCTTTGATTTTTCAAATAATGAAAGATTTTCTATCGGTAGCAGATGTACGATTTCTTCAACAATTGTTACTTATTTTTTTAATCTCGTTGATCGTTACAATTCTCCACTGATATTAATTCCAGTAACAATTCTAAATAATTCTACAATAATCAGTAATCTTTGTAACAATTGTCAAGTTTAGTTTTATTTTTAGCAAGGCATTCTTTCGTCCTTTTGCAACAATTACCCCAAAAAGTAATAAAGAAATAAGTGACGAGAAAAATGATTAAGCTAAACAATCAATCATCTTTCTGAACTGAATTATTTGTAATCTACTCATTTTTATTAAAAACGAACGTTTTGTCAATGCGCCTGAGACAATAGAGGAAACTCGGTCGGAGAAAATCAATTGAAAAGTTACTTCTCTAATCGCGGTAGAAATTAAATTTATCGATCATTGCCACTCACTTTGTTGACGAGAAATTTCGCAGCCTCCTCAATATTGATATTTTCCTTGGCTGACGTCTCGAACCAGCCGGCGAAATTCTTCTCTTTACAGTATTCGTCCATTTTCGCTGGCGTGTTCACCAGGCCTTCCTTCTGCTGGTCACATTTGTTCGCCAGAAGTACACAGGGTATCGGCGAGCCGTCAGGAAGCTGGACTTTCGAGTCCAAATCTTGTTTCCATTTCACCACTGCGTCTAACGTGGCACTTCTCGTCACGTCGAACACTATGAACGCGCCAACTGCCTCCTTGTAGTATACCCGCGTCATGTTTCCAAATCTTTCTTGGCCTGGACAATCGAATCGAACAGGGGAATAGACTTTACCAGTGTGTTGTAGAATAATATCGAAATTTAATCAACACATGGGAATTCATTTTTCTGAGAATTTCACAATCGTTTTGTTTCGAGTTGTTTTCTTTCCTGCGAAATTTCTTCGACTAGAGAGAAGAGATTTCAATGGGTCTCCTGCACAGGCGATGTGCTCAGTGGCGCCAATTTCTATTAAAATAGTTAACTGCCATGGCCACTAATACGATCGACGTTTACTTTTTAGATAATATAATATAATATGATTAATTAACAATTTTGCCAGAAGTATATTTCAATCTGTTATGAGTTCTAAAGCAAAAATATATAAAACTCAAGATACAAAAAGAATGAATAATTACGATGATTCTAACTTTTTTTAATATTTGCATAAAAACGTTATAGAATAATTATTATAATATTTCTCCAAAAATGGATGAAAATTATGATTCGTTCATACATAATATGTTAGCAATTAAAAATAGTGAAAAATCTATGCAGTTTAAAATCCATAGATTAAATAAAAGCTGAATTATAATTACAATGTTCTTGGTAATTGTTATATATACTACAATATATATTATATTATTATACTGTAATTATATGGAATGTTATAATTACGTTCTCGCAGTGAAGAGAAATGAAAGAGACAAAAGAAGAAGTGCCAACCTGCGATGTCCCATAGTTGTAGCCTTATAATCGTGTGCGGGTCCCAGTTCAATACTTTCAATGCGAAGTCGACGCCAATCGTCGCGCGATAATGCTGCGAGAAAAATTGATGCACGTATCTCTTGATGATGGACGTCTTGCCGGCGCCCAGCTCGCCGATCACCAGGATTTTATACAAGTGTTCTCGTTTCTCGCCTACTCCGGCATTCGGCGAATTGTTCAGTGACGACTGTGCACAACAGAAATTAAGATTAAAGCACCATCGAGCGGCAGTTCTTTGGAAATTTCTCATTAAATCATCAATTTATAAACACACAAGTTTCACAAGATTTGTTCACAATGTAATTCATTCATACGTATTTGTTACGCAATATTTTAACGTTGCGATATTTCATTATAATATATTTAGATGAATATTTTGAAAATTAACATTTTATTAAATGATAAGAAAAATGTTTATATCAGGAGAACAACTCTGATCACCGTGAATATTCTTGTTGTTTTTAAGGTTGTATGAATGAATTTTGTTAACAAAAGTTGCTTAGAATGATAAATTTTGAAGCAAGTTAAACGAACTCGGGCTCGTTTAACGAAAAACGTTTCCCGAAGAAATCAAAGCTATTATTCAATTAATCATCGATATTACGACTAACTAGCGTTGGCTAATTATCTATTAAATATCGTTTAATCGTTGGAAAAAAATTATTCAGGCCGAGAGAGTTATAATAAGCCACGTTTATCTCGAACACTCTCATTATTTTCATCAAACGAATAATGCCCACTTTTATCGTATTTCTTCTGTCTTATCTTTGTTATGCAACTATATTATTCGATGTTTGACACGATTATCCCCACATAGAGAAATGATATTTCAGAAGATAAAAATGAATATTTCAGAAGATAATAATATTATTCTTAGGAGATTGTTCCTAGGAATATTTCATTTTGATACAATTTTATTACATTTTTATAAATGCCAATTTTATTACATTTTAATTAAGAAACAGACAGGATCTTTTTAATCCGTCAGAAATTTCCAATACTTAAAATAGAAAAGGAAGTAGATACTTTGCGAACATCAATTAATTTGTTAATCAAGATCGGATCACTACCGAAATATTGACAATGTTCTCTGAATTTCTAAACATATAAATTTAAATGGATATATATTAATTGTACGATACGTTTCTCAATTTTTCTTCCAATTTATTTGTGTTTTTCAATAAACAAATATGAGAGACATCGCCGTATTTTCAGAACTCTAATTAAGATTGATAACGATTTGCAACAATGTTTCTGACGATTTGCTTATCTTATCAAGTCACGAGTAAAAAAAAGAAAAGACAAGTAGCAAGTAAAGAACGTAAACGTAATAAAAACGACTTAACACCTGACAGATTTGACATTTATTTCACTTACACACGCGTGAAGGATTCACGAGAAAAAAAGGAAATATGAAGTTTGGTATTTCTTATCTTTCAATATATATTAAGTAACTAATGGTACATTCAAGTAGAAGGCGACTCTAGTTGAAAAGAAAGAATAAAATTTTGAAGCCTTTAAAAATTTATCAATTTATCAATTTATTCCCTTATATATTAAAATAAATGTACAACTCGAATTTTAATTCACGACGTTAGTAAATACAACACAGCCAGTGATAAGGAGCAAAATGTTGAATTTAAAATTGATTGAAATTGACATTTCATCTTCTTCGTGCAATCTATTTGTTTTCCTTTATGTAATATGATTATTTTCACTTATTTATATCCTCATACTATCACGAAATCACTATCATTAATAAAGGGGCACAACGAGTTGTGGCAATCACGTGTTCACCATCAACCATGTATCAATCCACGTGGTCAACTTGACACTAGAACCATGCATGTAACTAGCAATACTTGTGTCAGAATAAGTGAAAACAGTAACGAACAGAGAGATTTACATTTGATGAGATATTAAATAAATATTTAATAAATATTAATATAGAATATCAAGTATATGTAGTGCAGTAATAAACACAAGATTCAAAGATTTATATAAAAAAAAAAAAGCACAAGATTTTATCATTGAAGGATCTTGAAAGAACCAACCCAGAACCACCTCCAATTCTTCACTTTCGACTCAGAAATATTCCGAGGCAACAGTCTCTTAATATTTCTCTCTTTGGCGTCCATGTTGTTTCCCATTGAGAGTTTCGTCTAGAAGCTGGACACGATGTTCACCGATCGGGATGTTTATCTGAACTAACGATGTCCGGTCGACGGTTATAAACCGATCGACGAACTCCGGGGTGAATGATTCATCGATAACGATCGTTTGGAAATGCAAATCCGCCGTCTCCGTGCAGCTAACAATGCATGATGCATTGCGTACACTATGACGTGACGTTGTTTTGTCAGATGCTTCATGCTTTTTCTGTTCTTATTTATACAGGTCTAGTTCAAACACAATTGATTCAAAGATATTTGAAAGCACAATCTTTGCTCCTAATCCGAATATAAATAGACGACAGATAGTAATGCGAGATCACATCGTCACAACGTTCTAATTTTCCAATGAATTTAGAAAAGCTTTCTAAACACAGATTCTTTCATTAACTGTTTATTTTATTCAATTTTACTTACTTGTATGTAGTTCATCGTCACAATAATAATATTAATCAGGGTGTTTGCGGTGCTCGATTAAATGTTGGTAGTTTTTAAATTCCTCGTCGCGATATATATTCTCTAACAATTATAATTATGAAATTTAACAAATATTTCGATACACATAAATTTACATGAAAACGTGCGTTATTGGGAAAGTTTTACAAAAATTTTGGCGCGAATCGAGCTGAATCCATTCGCTGCGAACGAGTGAAAGATCACGAAACGGGCCATCAAAAGGAACGAAAAATTCGCCGATGACGGAGATAACAAATGAAGATAATAACGCTGCGTTTTCCGCGGTGGAGAAACCTAAACTCTCGAGAAGCGAATCTACCAAGAACTCGTCTCAATAGCCTTCCTCCTCGTTTCCAATAGCCCTTCCCCACCATTCGCCGCGTTTCCCTCTCGAGACAAGCCGGGACAAGGGTAGACGTGCTTCAATTAGGCTTCTCGCCTTCGAGAGAAGCTGGAAATTAGAAGAGATAGAAGTCGCCACCGCGGAGATAGAGCACGGCAAGCCGCGTAACTCGAGAGCGGCTGGATCGAAAGAAGGGAAAAGAAAGGAAGAAGAAAAATGGAAAACACACGAGAAGAGAGAGAGAGAGAGAGAGAGAGAGAGAGTGCAACAACCACAAAACCGGAACCGCAGAACGCTTTATGCATCATAGGGTTACACGCGGACATTTTCTACGGACAAATGGATCGAAAGAAATGTCCGTGGTGTTTTGAAACTATGCCGCGTGTCGATGTCGAGAAAGGGAAACCTGATTATGCAAAGACAACGGGAACCCAGGGGCGGTGGAGAACACCGCGAGTGTGAGATGTTCTTGACGAGTATCGAGTGACGTGTCTTTATTCCGGTTCGAAGGAGAATACTTCTTCGCATGGTTGATTCACGTTTTGACACGTTGTGATTTCGCTCGCGGCGAATTAGATATTGACGATAAAAGAAAATAGTAGAATATAGAGTTTGAAAGAATTGATTACGGTCAAAAGGAACTATATATACAAGAGCTGCATCGATTCACGTTTTAATACGTTGGGGTTTTGTTCATGGGAGATAAAATAATAAATAGAATAAATAATAAATAAGATGAATAAGAATGAATTTTCAACATTGTTTGTTTGAAAACTTAATGGTATCATCTCTTGCTTATAAGACCTTACTTTTATATTTACAATTATATATATATATATATATATATATATATATATATATATATATATATATTTTTATAGAAAACAGTATCGTTGAAACAGTTTTTATCAAAATTTTTAGTGGTTATCACGCACGTGTGATTCTTATGGTCAGAAGTTAATTTATTTCTTTGTTGTAACAAATTAATTTCTACAATATATATTTCTAGAATCATGATACACTCTATAATCATGATAATAAATATATAATGAATATATAATTTTAAATAATAGTGAAAAGTGGATATTCATAAGTAGAATTGGATAAAACAAGTAGTATAACTTGGGATATACTCGACAAGTAGTAAGATCTCTATATAAATTCTTTATATAAGTTCTGAATGTTATCTGAATGAAAATAAATAATTTAATTATGAAATAAAGTATCTAAATCCGTATTTTGCACAATATATAATAATACCCTTGGTTAGATTGGTTTTATGTAATTTGATAAAAGGTTTGTAAATTTTTAACATCCAGTGTCAATTGCTCATAAAGTAATCGTCCAACCTCACATATCTATTAAATAATTTGAAAATAACTCGAAATCAAAAATGCGTAAAAAAACGCTATTTATATTTATAAAGGTATTTATCTTAATATAACGTAAGTAGTAATATAAGTAAGATGAAAAACAGCAACAAAACCTGGGTCACTTGAGTTAGCATCGAGAAAGGAAGACATTAACTCGTTAAAAACGAAAATCGGACCAAAAAGAAATTGCGAAGGCTCGCAACACGTCGATAAAAATAATTACGCCAAAGTCAAAGCTGAATAAAAATAGTTTCGAAACGAAACAGCAAAGAAGCTCAAAATGTCTGCCAACGAAGTGAAAGAGTCAAAGATACCGAGAAGAGAAACCAGTGTTAGAAAGAAACATTCAACGCTGCAAAATTGGAGAAAGAAGAAAAACTAGATATCTTCTTAAATGATACAGTACATACAATGAGAAATCTATAACTTTGTCACACAGATCTTCAGTTCCATGATCTTCTTTTACAAAGTTACATCAATTTAAATTATCGCCAATTTTTCATTGTAACTGCAGTTATGCTCCTCGCTGTGTAATACGATTCATCGATTAGAAAAAGCAAATAAATGAATCAAAGTGCAGCAAACGAATAATGGAACAACGTCATCCAAACGGAAAGTTAATAAACGAATAAATGAAACAGAAGCGCAGAATAAAGAGAAGAAGTCAGCAGAGGGAAAAGAAACAGCGTTGTTCCTCACCATGCTGTCCTGGCTGACGACCTTGCTCTTCTCCGCGGAATCGCCCATCATCGGCCCCATAGTTGCCACGTAGCTGTCGTGTTGTCTGTCGTAACTCTCTGTGTAATCCTCCTCGATACCAGCCAAATATCCAACGCCGGTCTCCTCGTCGAACGTGCCCTCGAACGTCGAGAACGTGTCGAACTTCTTCACGCTTATGTGCCTGGCTCTCTTCTTCGTTCGACCCTCGTCCTTCGTTCGGGCCTCTGCCTCCTTCGTCGCCGTTGACTTGTCGTCGTCGTCGACGCTGACGGCTATCACCGTCTCGCCGGAATCGTTGTCACGGGTCGTCTCGAACAAGCGACGCTGGAAGATCGCGCGTTTCTCTTCGAGCAGGGACAATTTTCGTCTGACCTCGTGAGGCGAGGTCTTCGCTATCGCCGACTCGGACTCGGATTTTGTGCTCAGCTTCGACTTTCTAGGCGGCTCGGCAGACGCTACACTCGCGGCGTTCTGCTCCGGCCATTTTGAAATCGCGTACGGAAGCGTCGAGCTGCACCGAGCTTCCGGGCGTGGAGACTTCTCCGATGATTGGGAATCTGCGCACGCAGATAATCGCACCGAGTTCAGTCGTCGATTAGGTTCGTGGG